TTTTTTTTTTTTTTTTTTTTTTGAATACACGGTAAGTCTTTATTACAAACCAAACCTTCCTCACATTGATGCTAGGCAGCCCTAAATGCATGGATGTTTTATTTTCCAAAATATCATCAGTAAATCAGCTGGTTTGAACTTGCAACACATTTTTCTGTAGAAACAATATTGTAAATCATGGTTTGTTTCAGAAACTTGTCTGAAAAACCCTATTGAAACTATAATGCAGCTCTATATCTGAAGTTAAAATCATACATAGAGAAAACATCTTTTTCTTTTCCTTTTTTTGTATACACCATAAATATAATTAGGCAAATGGGAGAGACAAAATAACCTTCAGTAGATACAATAATTTTTAAATGTGTTGAATTAGAGAAAACTAAGCCAAATGGAAAACATGTCTTCAGTTAAATGGGTTTTTAGATTTGCTTTTGGATGTTAGCAATTGAGAAAAATTAAATTTATTTTGGGAGTGATAAAATAAATGGAGAGATGTGAAGACTAACAGGAATTTGTGGGCAGTCTCAGAGTCTTTGAATATTTGTTGTAATTTTCTTTTCATTTAATTTTTATTTTAATACTTTTTACTTTTTCCCTTGGTATTTATAGATTGCCAACACCAACAATTAAGTCAGTTTTATTTATTTGAATTATAATTAAAGCATATGTTTTTATTTGAAAGCACCAAACTTCTCTAACTGCCTCTCCTAATTTTTCATGTTTAAAGGTTCTTCTGAACTCCTTTAGATTAATTTCTCTATTTTACTGCATTATATTTTTCTTATTATTATTAATATTTTTTGCTTACTTCCTTTTTTTGTACTTCTACAGATATACACCAAATAGAGCTTTATTGAAAATATGTATTCATAGATCAATGGAACAGAATAGAGAATCCAGAAGTGGACCCTCAACTTTATGGTCAACTAATATTCTATAAAGGAGGAAAGACTATCCACTGGAAGAAAGACAGTCTCTTCAATAAATGGTGCGGTGTTTTGGGATTGAGTCCCACATCAGGCTTCCTGCATAGAACCTGCTTCTTCCTCTGCCTGTGCCTCTGCCTCTGTCTCTCTGTATCTTTCATGAATAAATAAATAAAACCTTTAAAAAAATAAAAAATAAAAAATCCAAAGATAAGAACTTCAAGCAAATAAATTTTAAAAGTAAAATGAAAGAGAAAAATTCGTAGAAAACCATAACTTAAAAATATTGACAAGTAGAAACAGCAAACTGGAATGATTCTATAACTATTTTTTAAAATTGCATCAGTTAAAATTTTCTTATAAAGAAGATAGCAGGCTCAGATGTTTTTATCTGGAAGCTGTGTCAAATATTTAAAGAACACATAGTTTCTTGGATGACCTGTATCAGAAAATAGAATGAAAGGAAATAATTTGTACTTCATTTTATGCCGCCAAAATCAAATAGAGAAACATGAGAACCATGGAAAAATTACAAACCAAGCTCATTCATGAACAAAATGCCAAATTCCTAAATAAAATATTAATGAACTAAATCCAGCAGTTTTTATTTATCCTAGGACTGTGAGATCAGTTCAACACAAGAAAAACCTGTAATGTAATTCACATTAACAAATTAAAATAGAAAATTAACATGTCATCTTAAGAAATATAGAAAAGATTTTTAATAAAGTTCAAAGTCTACTTATTAAAAACATCATATTGGAAAACTCAGAATAAACTGGAACTTCCAGTGCACCTGGGTGGATCAGTGGTTGAGCGTCTGCCTTTGGCTCAGGTCTTGATCCCGGAGTCCTGGGATTGAGTCCTGCATCAGGCTCCCCATGGGGAGCCTGCTTCTTCCTCTGCCTCTTTCTGCGTTTCTCATGAATAAATAAAAAATCTTTAAAAAATTAACTGGAACTTCCTTAACCTGTTAAATAGTATCTACAAAAAACAACTGCAAATTTACTCAATGGTGAAACTTTAAAAACATTCTCTTTAGGGATGCCTGGGTGGCTCAGTCATTTAAGCAGTTAAGCTCTGCCTTTGGCTCAGGTCATGATCCCGGGGTCCTGGGATCAAGCCCCACATATGGTTCCCTGCTCAGTAGGGAGCCTGCTTCTCCATCTCCCTCTGCTGCTCCCCTTGCTTCTGTTCTCTCTCAAGCTCTCTCTTGCTGTCAAATAAATAAATAAAATCTTAAAAAAAAAACATTCTCCTTAAAATTATGATCAACATAACAATACACACTATTAACATTTCTATTCAGCATTGTACTTAAAATGGTGTGTTTGAGGTGAGAGGTCCTAGGAGTACAGTAATATAAGAAAAAAAGATACAAAAATATAAATATGAGAGGTGAAAAAGAAAACTATCATTAACATATAAGTTATCAAAATTAATAAGAAAGTTAATGAGGTTATCTAGTTACAAATGCAATAGACAGTAACTACAATTATATTTGCATACATTAGCAATAAACTGCTATGAAATGTAATTTTCTAAAAAGGTATTGTTTACAATAGCAACAAGAAATAAAGAAATTTCTTATAATGATGCACAAGTCCTTTCAAATCATAAAACTTCACTCAAATTACATGAAAAGATTTTTAAAAGATGGAGAGATATACTGTGTTTACAGAAGACCCAATGTCACAAAGTCATTAACTCCACCTTAAATTGATCTACAGATTGAATGCAATTCCAATCAAAATCCCCAGATTTTGTCTGTGTGTATAACTTGAAAAGCTAATTACAAAATTTATGTGGGCAAAAATTTTTACTGCAGTATTGTTCATAACCAAAAACTTGAAACTACCTAATTGTGCACCAACAGTAAAATGGATAAACAAACCATGAGATTTCACAAAAGGTAGTACTACACAGCAAGGAGAATAAATACAACTACATGCAACAATAATATAGATGGCACACAAAACACAACATTGAATGAGAAAACAAGTCCAGATGAACATCCACAGTTTTCCAAGCACTTTATACATATTAATGCACTTAATTCTCAGAACATCATTGATTGTGTTAATCTCCTCACCCATTGTCCCCTTTGGGACCAGGCAGTTCTAAAAAGGATGCTCCAAGCAAAAGGTAATTCAGATCTTTCAGTGGTAAATAGACTCCTCAGCAAGGGAGGTGAGACAGACTTTGCCTAGGGCAAGATATGGCAATCACTAGGTTTATTGTCTCTGTGGTCTGACATAATTCAGTCAATCACTAATGAGAGACTGTCTTAGGCACACAGAGTCCACGCTTGCCTATGGTGAGTAGTAGGGTGAGTGGAAGTACAGCATTAAACATATGCTATGTGCCAGGTTCTGAGCTTGATGCTGAGGATATGATGGGCAAAAAGACCACACATCCATCTTCTAGTTTAAATAATAACTAACATTTATGGAGCACTTACTATGAGCTGGACATTTTAAGCATTTTATATACTTTACTGTCTAATCTTTATAACAACACTATTATTCACTTCTTTTTACAGATGAAGAAATGGATGCACAGGGAGGTAAAGAGACTTGCCCAAAGTCACAGAGGCAGGAGGTGGCAGATCTGGGATTCAAACCTAGGCAGTCTGGATCCAGACATCTGAATCACTGAATTGTCCCAACAACACAGTGTGAGAAGAATTAGTTCTGTTTTGCAGCCGAGGAAAGAGATGCTCAGAACTCAAGTGGGCACATATTTGTTTTGTACCCTCTATGTAACAGAGACTATACTAGGAGACTTACATATATTTTTCTGCAACCTGAAAGAGTTCACAGGAATACAGGGTCCTAACTCTAGAGGACCCAAGTATGCAGAGACTGGTTTGCCTGCTTGCCAACTGAACCCAACAGCCCCTTGGAAAGAATTAAAGTGGTTGGCTGGATGGGGGTGGGATGTAATTCTCCGTCTCATCCAGGTCCCTAGATCTCTAGATGAGTGAGTGAAATTCCTGGTGGAGAGAAGGAAAGAGAATAGGAGGCTGGGTTTTTCCACCTCTTCCTCTTCTTCCTCTATCTACATCTTGCACACTACACACCATATTTAATATCCTACATCTTCCTGTATTCTCTAAGCAACTACCTCTCTTCCCAATAGTGCTGAGCCTGGACCTCCTCTAGCATTAGCATAGTGCAAGCTTGGTCAGCTGGTCCTCAAGATGTCTAGGTCCCACAGTCCACTGCTATCTTATCTCTGCTCACCTCATGGCTGCTCATGGCTCAGTCCATCCTTGGACTGGAAACACCTTGGTCTACAACTGTCCCGTTATCTATGGGAAATGGAATACTCCAGTTCTTTTTTTTAATATTTACAAGTTTTGTTTGCTTCTCCTTCGCCCTGCTTTTTCTTAAAATTTCAAAGTGAACATCACACAGCAGGCTGTCCCTGAGAGGCTGAATGTTTTCTCTCTCAAATTTCCAGAGCAGCGAAAGTGTCCATGTGTGCCAAGAAGGAACTGCGGGAGACAGGACATCCAGACTTTCCCAAATCAGACAGGTATAGACTTATTAGAAGAGGCTTGAGAAAAGGGAGGAGCAAAACTGACCAATGACATGAGACTGGTGTGTATCCAGCACCTGTCTCCTGAGAAATTATGCCAGGAATCATTACCTTATTTCACCTAAGCACTATCAGACAGGACCAATTTCCAAACTCTTCACAGAGTTCACCAAAATGAAACATTCTAGGCTAGCACTGAACAGTTAGTTCCAAACTAGCAATGTCAAACAAGAAGCATTTCAAATAAGCTCTGCATAAGAAAAAAAGTGCCTAGTCAAAAATCCCTCTAAGATGGTCTTTACCTAATCCTCATTCTTTCTGTCCTTTATCTCTCTCTTTCTTTCTCTAATTCTTTCTCTGTCTTTTCTGACATTATCCTTTTGTTGTTCTACAGCTATTTCATTCAGCTGCTTATCTAATCCAACTTTCAGGTTCGGATGGGGGTAGAAATGGGGGGGGGGGACTGTCCTTTGCTCTTCTACAAATTCTACTACCACCACCCTGAAGCCCATGGAAGCAAACCACACTTACAGCCCCTCCTCCGCTGTAGCCCGCTGCTGCCACTGCTGTGTGGAATCCAGATCTTCTGCAACCTGGTTTGGGTGAGCTCTTCCATCTCTTGAGACAGCTTAGGTGTTGCAGCAAATGACACCACTGTCCACAAGGTACTGGGCCTCACTTCCTGTCTTACTAGCTATCTCTTCTGTTAATGTGACCACAGCAGCAGGTGGACAGAGTTGGGTCAGGGAGGTGCACTGGGCTTCTGAGCTCTCTGGCAGCCTGTCTCCAGCCCCCTCTCCTCTTTCCTAGTCCTTGCCTGACTTGCCTGCCTCTGCGCCTGTACGTACCAGTGGGGGCTTGGGTACAGAGAAAGAGGTTGGGTAGAGGTCAGCAGAGGCCTCTGAACTCCAAGGACTGTGTACATAGGAGATAAGTTGGAGCCCAGCAAGGAAAGCAGCCAGCAAGACAGCCTAGGTCTGGCCAGTTACTTCCCTCCAATGAAGACAGGACTAGTAGAGTATGCAAATAAAAGACCAAAGATCATGTGCTTATATCCTGTGTGAGGTGGAAACGGTAAAGGTGATGGAGGCCGGTCTCAGTAGCTTTTACAGCTTTGAAATAAAATGATGAGCCTAAGTAGAATGTCAAGTTCTAACTCAGAAACAGAGATCTATATCAGAAATTCAAGGTTTTCAATATAAACAAACAAAATCCCTACTGAAAAATGCAATGTTTTGAGCTAGCAATCAAAAACCAGAACTAGAAGTAGAAGATTCATTGTCTCACTGTTTCTCCCCACCCACAAATGTTATTGCAACTGTTGTCTTCCCCTTAATTCAGCTGTCTTTCCTACCACAGGTCCTTTCCCACTTAAAATGTGCTGCTTGGGGGCACTCTTGGGAGAGATGGACACCATCTAATCATCTTTATGTTCTCCCCAGCCAAGGCTAAATAAATTAGAATAAACCTGACACCTTGGAAAGAGAAGTGAATGCAGCCATTTCTGGGGGGAGAGATGGTAAGTACTGCCCACATGGCTGCCAGCTGCCATTAGGAGTCCTAGGGAGAAAGGCATCATGATCTGATACAGAACCTGACTACAGTTCTTCATGCCAAGTGGAGGCTTAGGGTAAAGGCTGCAGCCGGCTGAGTGTGGGAAGCAGGGAGCAATGACCTCAAAGTAGGACAAGTCCATAGGCCAGAGTCATCTCACCCAGATGTGTCTACTTTACCTTCCCCCCTTCCCCTGGTTGTTTTGAGGCTTTTATGAGTAGAACTCATAACAACATAGCTTACCTGGAAGATGTCCAAGTATACTCTTACTTCATTCTTTTGCAACCTTCCCACCCCCTGAAGAGCCTCCAGTGATTGGCTACAAGGAAGCTCAACTTTCTTCCACTGAGCTGGGTTACACAGGAAGCTCTTGGGAATAGAAATCTCTAATCCCTTTCCTCCAATGCTCTTGGCTGTACTTTGCCTTTTAAGAAGTTCCCTAAAAGTTTATTTTCAGTATCCTAGTCTATACAAAGGTTAGATTTCCTCCAGTTGTGTATAAATCATTCCAAATCTTCAATACATTTCAGAGCCTGCCTATCTAAATGAATGTACTGATGCAGTGAGTCACAGTAGTTAAAAGCAATGGGCTGTGGAGCCATACCACCTGAGTGGAATCCCACCTCTTCCCTCTGCAACGAGATCTTGGGCAGAAGATTTAACTTTTCAGTGCCTCAGTCTTTTCATCTGATAAGAGTATCTATCTGCTCAGGGTTGTTGAAAACTCAACGTGTTAACACACATAAAGCAACCTGGGAAATATTCAAAATGCATTAGTTAACCCCTTTTGTGAAGTAAATGATCAATCACCTCTTCAGCTAATCTGAAACTTCTAATGTAATGCTGAGTATACAAGAAACAATAAAAGGAATTTATAACATATTACAAAGGGTTAACATTTATAATAAAGAACTCCTGCCAATCAATTAGAAAGATAAATTTACTTTTACTTTTTTGGTTTTGTGATACAGAAAAACCTAGAAATCATTACATCCAACCTTCTCTGGTAAGAAAATTGAAGCCTAGAGAGGGGAGGTATTTTCCTAAGGTCCTGTACCAAACAAGTGACCAAGTCCGGGGTAGAACACTGGGGACCTGATTTTTCCCAGTCCAAGGCTTGGAGCAACTTGGACTTTTTTTTTGTTGTTGTTATTAATTGATCAATTTAGTTTGATTTAAGAATGTGGTCTTTCAGATGATCTCAGAACATTTAGAGTCTCAGAACTAGACCTTGGAAGAGATACAACTCTCTTAATCCTAATAAGTCTTCTAATAAGTATTACTCTGCTAATAATTATTTTTTCCTCAGCATTGGCTTTCCTTGCTACTGAGTTGTTTTTTTTCTTTTTCTGACAATGCAATATTGCATATACTGTATTTTGTATTACTTTTTAATTGAAGTATAATTAACATACAGTGTTACATTACTTTACAGAATAATTTAATAATTCTATACATTTCTTAGTGGTCATCTAGATAAGCGTACTACTCTTAATCCCCTCTATCTGTTCTACCCCTCCCATCTACCCAGTTTGTTCTCTGTACTTAAGTGTGTTTTTTTTTTTTGGTATTTTTTAAAATTTATTTACGATAGTCATACAGAGAGAGAAAGAGGCAGAGACACAGGCAGAGGGAGAAGCAGGCTCCATGCACCGGGAGCCTGACGTGGGATTAGATCCCAGGTCTCCAGGATCGCGCCCTGGGCCAAAGGCAGGCGCCAAACCGCTGCGCCACCCAGGGATCCCCCTTTTTGGTGTTTTTTCTTTGTTTGTTTGCTTCTTAAATTCCACAAATAAGCGAAATCATATGGTATTTGTCTGACTGACTCATTTCACTTATCGTAATACTCTCTAGCTCCATCCATGTCATTGAAAATGGCAAGATCTCATTCTTTTTTATGCCTGAATAGTATTTCATTGTGTGTATATGTATATATATGTATGTGTGCATATATATGTATATGTATATATTTTTGTGTGTGTATATATGTATATCCTATCTTCTTTACCATTCATCTATTGATGGACATTTTGGCTGCTTTCATATCTTAGCTATTATAAATAAGGCTACAATAAGCATAGGGGTGCATATATCTTTTTGAGTTAGTGTTTCCATTTTCTTTGGGTAAATACTCAGTAGTGGAATTGCTGGATTGTATGGTATTTCTATTTTTAGTTTTTTGAGGAACTTCCATACTGTTTTCCACAGAGGTTCCCTCAATTTGCATTTCCACCAACAGTATATGAAGGTTCCTTTGTTCCCACACCCTTGCCAACACTTGTTATTTCTTTTGTTTTTTTATTTTAGCCATTCTGACAGATGTAAAGTAATAACTCTTTTTTATTTGCAATGTTAATAATCTTAATAATAACTTTTTACATGTATGTTTTCCATTGTCCACAAAACAACAACATATTCCATATCCTAGTTGCTCCTTACATTCTCACTAGTTTCATAGGGAAACTAAGGTCTAGGGAGATGGGAAAAAGCTTGTCCAAGGTAATTGAGCTGGTTACGTGAACCCCCTTCTCTGTTTACAGTTTTGTCCTCATGACTCTTCCAAGAGGCAGAAAGATAATTTTAGCAGCAGGAAATCTGAGATAGGAGGCTAGCAGGCTATTGGCAAGGTCTGAGAGGGTAAACCTAGGGTCCAGGCTTGAAAACCCAAGTTAAAATTGCCTGGAACTGGAACTAGCTAGCTGGTTTTTGTTGTTGTTGTCATATTTTTTTTTATCTGGCTTTTGTGGTGTATGTGTTGTTTGTCTGGGTTTTTTGTTTGTTTACCTGTTATCAATTTTGATCCTAGAAGCAGGAGAACTAAACAAGATTTATGGAAAGGTCTCAGGATGGCTGTTCTAAATCAAGCCCCAACCTACTTCTCTAAGCCATGTCTCTCTTTCTAAGCCCATGCTTAACTTGCGCTTGCTGATTCACTGAGTCCCCAAACATAACGTATACTTTTTTTTTTTAAACCTCTGGGCTTTTGCTCCACCTGAAATGCCTTCTCTTTCCTTCCATTCTCAGTGAAATCTAACTCAATCTTCAAGAACTGGCTCAATGTTGCCTCCTCTGGGAAGCTTTCCCTGTAATCTGGGATAGGCATTATCTTTGGTTCTCATATTATCTGTATGTTTCCATTTATCTGAGCAAGTATCCACTAGCTTTTACTGGTGTACTTCCCTACTAGACTATGAATTCCTTGAGGATGGGAACTAGACCTCAGTTACCTGCGATCAGTGTTTCCAGTATTCAGCTCAGGTTCTGGCAAGGAGGAAACACTTGCTCAATGAGTATCTCTCTGCCCTAGATGAGATGAACGTATAGACAATCACTATTTGGAAAAGTAAATGTCATAACTGAGATCTGTACAGGGAACTGGGTGGGCAAACTAACTAGGTCTGAAAGTAGAAGGTGGTATCTAGAAAGATTTTTTAACCTTGAATGAGGGAGAATAGAATGAGCAAAAGAATGAAGTCCACCCCACCTGAAAAAGTCCAATCAACTGGTTGCAGAAAAAGAGTTCACTCAGTATCAGTGACTCACTCAAGACCAAGATCTGAACCGCAAATTCTAAACTGGGTTAACTCTATGGAGAAAAGCACACCGTGTGACTTCCTGAGATTCACAGGTCCTGATCATCCTCCCAAAGTATAGGGTATGTGGGAGAATCCCACTAAAAGCACTATTAAGCACATACTGATGGGTTGCAAAATCACAAATGGAGTATCTCTATTAGTAATTCTTGGGAGTATGTGGGTATAAATGCATTTGTAGGGGGTAAGGGTGTACAGGGGAGATTGGCCACATACTTATAATTTAGGTGCTGATGTATTAGGCTTTCTGTGGCAACCACCTAGGTACCACTTCATTGTTAGTCACTGTTCTGGCCCACTATCCCCCCACCACATTCAGCCTCACACCTGGAGCCCAAGGATTACTGTATCCCAGTCCCAGGAGTGGCTCTCTACAGACCATAGTCACTCAGAGAGAAGAGCAGCTGGAGGCCTGTGGGTGGTATTGCCTGTGGAGGCTACAGAAAAAAGCAGGATCACTAATCTCAGACAGAGCATGGAAGTTCTGAAACATCTCCAGAAATTTGGTTCCTGTTCTCCTACTCCTCTTCACCTTGAGATAGCCCTCTGAAGGACGTAGGCCAGGGATTTCAATTTCCATTTTAGTAAGAAGGTTATTGAAGCTCTGAGAAGGTTGAAAAGCTTGTTCAAAGTGCCACAGAAAACCAGACCCACTGTATATACTATTGGGGGAGGTAAGAGATATAATCCCTACTATCCAGTTCACTCAAAACTGGAATAGACCAAGAGAGACTTCTAAAGGTGCTAGAG